CGGGCAACATCAAAATTATTAAAACTGCTAACATATTTTCATCGATATTATTATCCATCATGCCCGTTGTGGAAAGCATAAGTGAACAGTTGTCGTCTTTGCAGCTGTCAGAGGAAATCACCGAGGAAATTGTAGCGTGTGCAAGGTATGGCGAACTTTCTGAGTTGCAAAACATATTGAAATCATATCCTGTCGCGTATCTTACATCAAGAGACGCCTTCGGAAATACTGCATTACACATGGCAAGTGCGAATGGACATACAAGTAAGTATTTTATTTTTCTCTTTTAAAGCGTTATTTATATTTTACGAGTAAATTGTTTACATTAAGTACCTAATAGACATTGTAGAATATATAATACAAACATTAGAAACTTTGGAAAGTGATATTGTTAACGCACAAAACGAATTGGGAAATACGCCATTACATTGGAGTGCATTAAATGGTCATATCGAGATAGTCACACTATTGATATCTAACGGGGCTGATGTAAAGGTAGATGAATATAATTTTGAATCCTTTTGGAACAAGTAAACCAATTTATTTTTATTCTTATATGAATAAATAGATCAAAAATAAAGCAGGAAGAACAGTAATATATGAAGCACAACAAAATAATCACGAAAAATTGGTAGAATATTTATTGTCTAAAATGGAGCCTGAAAAAGAACCCAATGGAGAAGATGCTAATGGATCATAGGTCAATATCAAATCTTTTTCCAATGTAATATTCTAATGTGCAATATTACGAAACCTATCATTAAATTTTAATAATCAAAAGTTGGTCGCATAAACATGTTCATGTTAAAATTTGTCAAAATAATGTGCGTATAACGAACCTCAATGATAATCTTTTTCCTAAGATTATTTAGAACCGTGGATCTCCAGGTTATTCACATTCGTACTTATGACAGCAAGTGATAATTATAATAAAATCAGATTAAAATGAAATGAAGGGTTTCTATCTGACTCCAAAACCCACTTATGATAATCTTAACCCCAAAAAACTGTTCTAGCGTTACCAACCTAAAAAATTTCGCTGCTAGATTAGGGTTAGATTTTGCTATTAATTTAGGTTAGGAAGAGTTTTTTTTTAGCACAAAATTTCGCAAGGAAAACTTTTTATTAATACGCAAAAGGTGGTTTCATATGTAAAATGTTGAGTTATGAACGATTCTTTGGTTTGTTTTGATTTTTTGTTTTTTTGCGTTTCTTCTGCGTAGCACAAATATGATTGGCCAGCGAAATTTTTTAGGTTGGACGCAAAAATACCGTTCCTGATGGATCTCAGTACTGTTCCTGATAAGGGTAGGAAATATACTGTTCCTGATAAAAGGGCCTGAAATATATGAAAAAAGTTAGGATTAGGGCTCGTCTATCAGAAACAGTACTCATATAAATTTTTTTTTTTTTAACTCCATCAAATTGGTACCAGGAACGGTATTTTTTGCCGCTAGGACAGTTATCCCAAAATTTTGTATTTTCGGTGGCTTGTCTATTTTACACTATCCCTTATTTCATCTGTCACATTAATTAAATACTCCATTCCTGTCTTTGATCGATAAAGCTGATGACAATATTGTTTAGACAGAATTATCTGATGCGATAATTTTTCTCAACCGATAACCTTATCGTTATATAATTCGTTATTACTACATACGTACAGTGCAAACAACCTATTCCCAACAAATAAAATTTTTAAAGCAGAATATAAATTTTAATTTTTATTAACATATGATAGTTAATTTGATATACAAAGTGTCAAGGTTGTTTGTTTAATATATAGTATATTTAAGTGGCCAGATTGCTTGTTTAATTATTAACTTTAATTTTCTACTATATTAAAAATAATTTTTTTAAAAAAATTTAAAACTACCAAGATGTTTGGCTTGAATAGTTTTAATGTTCTATAAAGAGATTTTTTGTTTATTTTTTGTGAACAAGGATTGGCATTTTGAATTTATTTACTAGAACTAGGTTGAGATTCATTGAAAATGATTTCCTTAAATCTTCCCTTGAATCTGCTCATTATTAATGCATCGCCACGAAGATTTCACGTACACGTAATCAAATGTGTTCTTTTATCGCTTTATGATGCGGTTTACAATGTTGCTTTCGCCGTTAAGCTTGTTGAATAGTACGATTTTTAGGTCTTCACTAATTTATCCCCACAGTCCCGATTTTAGCCAATCAGCATCAGTCACGGGGACAAGATCTAGCGTAACGTGAAAAAATTTTCACCTAAAAAATCACCTTTCGTGTACTAATAAAAAAAATTCCCTGCAAAGGTTTGGTATAATCTTGGCCGTCAAATTTAACATAACATCTAAAAAGGACGGCGATATGTAAAATAATCACAAATTCCAACCAATAGAAAGTGTGGGAGAAATTACCTAAATAAGATTTTTAGTACTAGTATATTCTATATTCGGGTTTATGTATTTTCTACGTATCCTCGGTTAAGGTAATTTCTATTTAATTCACATCACGAAATTTTCCGATGTCTATGACCAATCAAAATCACAAAATTTTGGTTACACGGATCAGCCCAGAGAAGCAAAAAAAGTAAAAAAAGGGAAAAATACAAGAAACGAGTGTTTAAACCCACCTTGATGCATTAAGTAAAAATATCAGGAGGGTAATTTTACGTATAGTACTTTTCTATACATGCCCTAATCTAACCCTAAGCTAACGTTAATAATAATTGCATGATGTACCCGGCTTTAAGCGTCCCCTAGTTTTAGTAGGCTTTATGTCAAGTTTGATGCATTCCTTCATTAAGTTTCTGTACGTTCTTTGACGCGCTCTTTCTATTAAATTTTGGTGTCAATGCCACACTTTACAAAATGAATTCACATACGTCAAAATTATTAATAAAACGACTAAAGGTGTATTCTAATCATTCATACAAACTCAAACATTGTATATTTTCTTTGTCTTGTGCGTCATATAACAAACTATAATGTTAACATATCTGTTAAAGACTTGATATTTTTTTATGGTTTTTTTTTCGTTGGGTTTTGGTATGTTCTTTCGTCTATAACATTTCAGCGCATTCTTTCGTCAGACTTTTTTCTATGAAAAAACTACATTTACTGAAATTGTTTTTCATGTATTTGTCATTTTATTCATCCATACAAAGTATTAAATAGTTTAAAATTTTTTTTTTTTTTTTTAAAAAAAAAAAAAACACATTGTTTGATAAAAATTTTATTTTAGATTTGGATTGGCTTGTGCCACGCACAATCACGTGGACTTGAAATTTTCGTGGTGATCCAAAGGATTAACAAATAATACCACTTGTTTTTCATTGTCCCACGGTGGTCAGTCTAGGGATGGTGCTAGTCAATATAATTCTCAACACTGCGAAAAATAAAAAAAAAAAAAACTGGGCAAATCATGCAGAATCATTTACATCGTTTACAATAAACATTACTGATTTACACAGCTGAGCATGGTAGGAATATCAATCAACGCAAGCATGCCATTTTAAACTTCATTTAATCCACAATGGCTCGATTATATCATGATCCACAGATATCACCAGTTGCTCCAAATCAATTTTCTGAATAGTATGAATCATAATAATTTCAACATACAAAAAAAGAAATAACAATAATATTGATAATAATAATAAACTTTAACCCGAAACAGTTTAGTTACTAAAGTATTTATTTTACAATGTCTCACGCTCATGTGATAAACTTTCTTGAAATAAAATTGATATGTTTTATTGTGGAGCTGTTTGAGATGTTTGCCTCCCAATACGATCTTCCTTTTCTCTGATATAGCGTCGTAAAAGTTCCTCCAAACTGTTATCTTGCTGATCAACTGCAATTTGTGTAGCTCTTCGCGCCAATTCCCAGATCCAAAGCTTTGCAGCATCATTATCTAATCCTTTTAGATCAGTTCCTCCTTTAAATTTTTGCACCGCGCTAGCAATGTCACGTGCTGGAAGTTGATGATTCGGATACTTCGCTTTCAATAATTGTCGTTGAGTGGTAACTCCCAAATTACCATGAAGTGTATAGAATTCAATATCTTCAAGAACTGCTTTCGGTAAATTTCGATTCTTTGGTGATGCTGCTTCCAATACGCTACGATACCTAGGTGATGAAATCGCATGGTTCGTCGATGGTTGTGACGATGGTCTAGCTTCTCGCGTTTGCTGAATATTAAGTTCATGATTATGCTCATTCACGAACGTAGTAACAGTTATGCATGTACTTGTCTTTGGAAAAGAAAGGTTGATATGCCATCCACATTCAATACGTTTAGATGTTCGATTGCGTTGTTCATGTACTGCTGCTTTTTTTTTTGGAGTATACCTTCCTCCGTGTTCACAATCATACGTCCTTTTTCTAACCATCCCCATTTCATCCCTTTCAACCCGTTTCTTTCTGACAACAAATCCTCGCTCTCGACCGTAAATTTCAAGAAATTCATCCACGTTTTCCCAATTTTGAAAGGTCGTACCAACTGCAAGGATTACACTTGGGCTAGCCGCTTGAGGCGCAACGAAAGTACCATTATCACTAAGTCCACCTGCTGTACCACTAAACCCTGCCGAATCTTCTTTAGGTGACAAGGGAATAATAGTTTCTCGATGACCGGATCCGTCTTGTTCAACGGGAAGCGCGATTGGTGTCGGTTGAATTGGTGAAATTGCTGTCAACATAGAAACGTCCTCTCGTACCTCGAAATTCATATTTTGATCTTTTTTTAGTTTACTTTACCGTATTTTCTAATTGCAAGAGGCTTTATCGCCAATATACCTAAAAAGTTACGAAAGTTGAAGACCGAAATTCAGTAGAGTATTTTTTCAGTTTCTCCCTATTAATACGGAGATCGGAAGATTAGGTTTTGATGCAGCCAATCAAGATTCTACAGGCACATGACATATAAATGCATATTTACACGTGATTCCGCATATGCAATGTTGTAATGCTTGTGGCCAATAAAAAATATCTGAATTTTTGAGTCGTAATGGTAAATTTGCAATGCAACAATTTGAATTGTTTGACCCGCCTTCGGATGCTATATCATCAGTTGTATTTAGTCCCACTAGCCCTATTCACCTTCTGGTATCTTCGTGGGACAAAGTAATTAAAAATTCTCGTTATATCTCAGTTTTTATTAGTATTAATATTTTTTTCAATTCTTATAGACTATTAAATTGTATAACGTTGAAGAAAATTCGCTTCGAGGATCATATAATCATGATGCACCAGTTCTTGACTGTTGTATGTCCGTTGAAACTCATGTGTATAGTGGCGGGTTAGATCATTGTATAAAGAGGTATATACTTGTTTTTAATTTTCCATGCTTTTTTCACTCTAATTCACCCGTTTTTTAATTTATGAAGTTTCGATGTCAATACGCATAATGGATTTGTTGTGGGATCACATCAAAACGCTGTTAAATGCATAGAATATAGTATTGAAAATAGTAAGCAATATATCCTTTTTTTTTATTTAAATTTTTTTTTTTTTTGTATTTAATGACACTTTTCATATATTTTAGATCTGATTGTATCTGGTTCGTGGGATCAAACGGTTCGGACATGGGACGTACGCGACAAAGACTCGCAAACCGGAGTATATAAAATGGAGAATTCTGCCAAAATTTTTGCGATATCTTTGGTATCTTATAGATTAGTAGTTGCTACAGCTTCAAGACAATTTTATATCTATGACATAAGAAACATGTCTGATATCCTTCAGAGTAGAGAAAGCAGCTTAAAATTCATGACTAGATGCGTTAAATGCATGCCTAATAAACAAGGTAAAAAAAATCAAATCTTTATTCTATCTATTAAAAGAATTACGTTGACTTTAACGCTTTGTAGGATACGCGTGTAGTTCAATCGAAGGACGCGTAGCTGTCGAATTTTTTGACCCATCACCTGAAGTACAAGCGCGTAAATATGCTTTCAAATGCCATAGGAAGATGATTGATGGTATTGATACGGTTTATCCCGTCAATGCACTTGCTTTCCATCCAACGTACGTACGTGATATAATGCCTTGATTTGTTATTGACAATATTAACGCGTTTGATAATAGGCATGGCACTTTTGCCTCCGGAGGTGCTGATGGTGTCGTGAATATTTGGGACGGATTCAATAAAAAACGTCTTCGACAGTATCCACAATACCCAACCAGCATTTCCAGCTTGGATTTTAATAAGGATGGTCAGTATTTGGCAATTGCGAGTAGTTACACATTTGAAGAGGGTGAGAAAGATCATCCGCCAGATTCTGTTTTTATAAGGCCCATTAACGAAAATGAATGTAAACCAAGACATTTGACACCACTTCCTTAAATAATTACTGTTCGGAAGGTGTCTCATACGTTCGATCTTTAATGGTTGAAGTTATCCACTTACTACTAAGATTTAACGTTTGATTAGTATTGAATGAACTTTACCTAATTTCTCTCTGACCAATGAAGCTTCATTAAAGTAATAATATTTACGGACGCAATACAATGCAATTCAAATGTAACTGTGGGATTTTTATTAATACCGTAAATTGCTATATAAATCGCCCGGTATTATATTGCAGGAAAAAGGATAGTACGATCAGACCCCCTATATGTAGCCCACAGGGACCAACCTTTTAACAAGATGCATTTAGAGAGATCAAGCATGTATTTGGGCCAGTGTTTAATGCTACTAAGGGGATTGCATTTAAGGTTCTGGTTGTAACTGGATTATATACATAAATTACTGGGTGAAAGTGTCTACGATTAAACAGAGTGGTTTATATGATGTTTTATAGTAAATACTGTCGATAATCATCAACTTTCTGTTGAGAAATCTGCCCATGATACAAATCCATTTATATGATAAAATTTTGCGGCAATCCATGTGAATTATGCGAATCAATTGTGATTGATGCGATTTAAATAGAATATTGGGTTGGTCCTTTGGTTGACACATTAAGCCATGACTATACACTTATAGTTCTAAAGAACACACGAATAATGCTTTTATTTCTAACACAGAAGATGTTATTTATTTCCAATATACAATTAAATAATAAATATTATACTTTTCGAAGATGTTCGACTTATTTTTAAAGTAAATTTACCAAAGCCCCCATATCCAACCCATATTTGACCTGGTTTTATATAACACATTATACTTTTCTTTCACCAAACATGGTTTCTCTTTTAGTTATATATTGCTTTTGGTTACATTTAACTGTTATATTATACTATGGTCAACCCTTGTAGAGTTCACCAAGCCTTAATACTAACACGATATATGTCTAGTACTTTGGTATCTTACTTGCCATATTTTTGCGCAATAATGTCCATGGGTCTTATTTTGAAAATTGCACACTCTGAAAATAGCATACATAGTTTCAAAATAATGCCCACATGCGTTCTAAAATACCATATCCTTATATCGATATAAAGCAGCTTTTTCACTTAGTGTCAGTTAATAATTAGTAGGGCTGTTAAAAAGCTTATTGAATCTGGTTTATGAGTTGACTTAGCAAGAACTTTTTGAAGTTAACTATAATTATGTATAAATATGCAGAATTATGTATATGTATGCAAGGGATACATAAAATAGGCAAGTGTGTATAAAATATGCAAGGGGTGCATAAAATATGTAAGTATGTAAAAATATGCAAGTATGTAAAAATATGCAAAAAGTATATATTTATTTGTTGCCTTTTATTATATGTTATAAGTAAAGCTGCAGGCATTAGATTATCAATTAACATTTACTATAACGTATTAACGTGTCGTATTTAATATGACGTATTAAATCATATATAATTTTATATGACGTAAAAGGACATATAAAAATGACTACCTTTAATCTTTTAAATATTTGCATCTTTAGTTATAAGTTACATGATACATAATTAGCTAATCAAAAACTAAACAATAAGTATATTTAAATTTTTCAAAAATTTTAATTTTACTTTTTAATTAGCAACTCTAATTCTAAATAACAGTAAATAATATACTAAACTAATAATAAAACTTTAAAACAAAATTAAAAAAAATAATATAAACAAGTTAACAAAAAAAAAATTAAATATAATAAAATTATATTAATATAATGTTAATTTTAAGAGAAACATTATTAACAAGAATTCTAAAAACAATGATATTAAAAATAAAAGTTTAAAAAAAGATAAAGTTAATTAAATAAATATATATATAAATTAGTATAAATTTTTTTTTTAAAAAAAATGATTACTCTTTCTAATATTATTAAATCACACAAATTACAAATCATCTTTTACAAAGTGCAAGCTCATTCAGATAATAATCTTAATGAGCAAGCAGACTTTCTTGCTAAACAACATCCATCATCACTATTTCTTTCATTTAATTATACAAATCTTTATAATCCTTACTATATTCTTCAATGAGAGCAACATTATATAGAACTTCCTACAAAATATTTTATTAAGCAAATATATAAAGTCCACATACTAGTTATATGAGCATTACAAAAACATAATAGCGAGTGATCAAACTTTAATCAGAATATTGACTGGAGATCTACTTGGTTTTATTTTAATTATAATCAAAAACCTTCATACAATATTATTAATTTTAGACTCAACCAACTAAAATCTTTTAAAATCAAAACTTTTCTTAATGAGTTACCAACATATCAACTATTTCATATTATTTACTCAAATCAATATTCAGATACTAATTGTTTTTATTATAACCTAGTTAACTCTCATTCTCATTGATATACTTATGCTAATACACTTTTGTTTAATCAAATTATTCAAATATCTACCAATCAAATTATCTCCAACAAATTATCTGATCTCAATAATTATCAAAAAAATGATTTAATTCATAAAATCCTTCACCATCCAACTCATAACTCCTTATACATCTTACCTAACACATTTTATCCTAATCTTATTCTCAAAGGACTTATTTCAAAGTTATTCATATCAATAGTTCAAAACTTTAACATATCATATAAAACTGTCTCCCAAGTTATTATCGATATTCTTTTCAATATTAATGAACAATTATATAAACAATTATGAAAAACATATTGAATTCATTTCTCTAACTGGAAAAAACAACAAAACATATCTTAATCTCAACCAATCAACAAATCCTCAATATCATCTAACTTAGCAACTAGACATATATATTTTTGTAGAAACTATACTTACTCATGTTTTTATAAACTTCCAGATCAACTACATATTCACTTTAACACATGTCCTCCTATTGGCTAAGCAATTCAAAAAATTAACATTTGGTCTATTCTATAGATCAAATATAGCATATCATCAAATTATATACTAAATATTCAAATCTAAGTGAGCTTTGACCACTTTAGTAGGTTTAGGTTACAGATAAATTAGTCTGAGCTTTTATTCTTGCATGTAATTTTTAATTTATTTGTTTTATACAAATAGTAGTAGCTGTATAGTTAGCAGTTTAATGGTTAGCCCTAACTGCAAGTGTTGGCCTCAGCATAGTATATATATATATAACTATTTTAAATTATTAATAAAGATATAAGCAAGATCTTACCTTAATACCAAAAAAAAAAAAAAAAAAAAAATGATTTCTTTGGTTTTTTAATTTTTATTAATAATTTTTTTAATAATATAATTCTGTAAACTATTAAAAAAAGAGTATACAATTAGTTATATATGTAATTTTTCTATATTACCTATTTAAAAATTTTATCTAAAGGTTTCCTACTAATAGTTGTATTTAATATCTCTGGTTGGATGTTTTATTTTAAATTCTTTAAAACTATATCTGTGTTAATATTACTGAATTATATTCAGGTCATCATCTTAATCTTAGAACTATTTTATTTTTAAGATAAAACTTTCAAAGTCTTTTGTATATATTTTACAGTTAATTTAAGTATTATTATAAAAGAATTAACACTTATAGTCAAAGTTTTATCTTTTAACCATTATGTCTTTATAAAATTTATTTGAATCTTAACATCTATTTTACAGTATATTTCTAGTACTTTAGTATATCTCTGTCTATTCTTTAGACTTCTAATTCAAATAGTCTATATAAAACTACAACTAATTTATCAGTATATCAAATTAATATAATACTTTTTTTCTCTAGTTCATTTTAATAATCTAGTTAATAATATTTTTAAAACTTCTAATCTGAAGGTTCTTATCTGTTTAAATATTTCAATATTGATATTTGTTTTTAGTGATCTAGTTTTTACAATAATATTATTAAAGATCTATACTATCTTTTTACTCAGATATTCTCAAATAAACTTTTTGTTTTCTAATTTCAATAAATTTATATAGTTACAAGAATTATCTAGAGTTTTACTACCTAATATCAGTTTATATTTCTTTATATAATTAATTACACAGATGTTCTATAACTTAACAGTTATGCTAGTACAATCATTATTATAGGTATCTTAATTTAATTATTAAAAACAGTTGCTATAATATAAATATTACATATATATCCAAATTTTTACTGTTAATAGAATTTAAATATCCAATTTATTATTTAGAATTTGACAACTTAACCACTTCACTAAGTCATTACATTCTAGTATAAAATTTAGAATATTATTAAAAAAGATATATATTATTAAATATAATAAAATTGTATTAAAATAATATTAATTCTAAAAATAATATTATTAAAGATAGAAATATATAAATTATTTTTTATATAGTTTTATATATTTTTTAAAATTTTTATATAAAATCAATATATGTTATTAATAAAATTTTTTTAAATTACAATTAATTTTTAGTAAAATTTTATAAAATATAAATAAAATAATTTATCTATTATAGTAAAATTTTAAATTATTATTATATTTAAAAAATATATACTTGTATATATTATAAAGTTTTTTTGAATTAAATAAAAAATTTTAGAATAATATAAAATTGTTTTTTTGTTAAAGATTATACTTTATAACAAAACTTTAATAATTTTTATTAAGATTAGCTATTACAACTATTTATATAAAAATGAAAATATAACTAGTTATATATGCAACTTTTGATTACCTATTTAAGTAGTTCACTCTAAAATTCTATACTAAATACTATACCTATAACCTACTAGAAGATTATTTATTTAAATATTCTGATTATTTGTTTTATTATTTATATAACACTATTATATCTTTTGTATATATTTAACTAATATATTATCTGAACAGTATGATGTTCTTAAATTATTATATATTTTAAAGTATAACATCTATTAATAAAGACCCCTTTTGTTAACTACTTATCTACTCTATAGAATATTAACAAAAGTTACTCTTGCAAAGTTTACTCAACTTTGGCACTAACT